ATGCCAATTTTTTAAAGGAATTCTGTGGAAAACTTCGTAAAATAACATTATATCATGTATTAGATTTTTGGTTTGAACCAGTATCCTATGATTTAAAAAAAATCAATCGTCTTATTCTTAATTTTGTGAGATTCTAAGCTCAATAAAATGGGATGTGGCAGGTATAAAAAGTTTTGATTTGTTGTGTATACAGCCTTGTGGAGCTCTGCTCCTAATTTGTAGTGCTTAGATAGACTTTAGATTAATGATAGATATTGTCCTATTTAAGGAGGCTCATTACACCACTTTTTGATGACGTACTACACAAAAAAATAAACCTCCATTGTGTTGACCGGTTTCCTCTGGGGACGAATTGTACAGGTACCTCTATGATATGACCCTGACCTTTTAAACGCTTTAAAAATAGATGAAATTTGCGGTGTTATAAAAAGTGAAAACAAAGTAACGGATTCATAATGCATAAACCAAGAAGAATTGCTTTTAAGCAGAAACAAAAGAAAACAACAGTCAAATCTTCGCCAAACAAGTAATGTCAATTTCATAGCGATGCATGAAGTGAGCTCTATCAATCAATGACATGTTTGTATGGAGGAAATTTGAGTTAAAATCTATACCCTTGTTGAAATTTTAAAAAATATTTACTTGCATTATTTACTGTGTTGGTGTTAATTTATATATTTGCTTTATTGATTTAAATTTAAATTTAATTGCAATTTAAAGCTTTGTTCTGAATTTTAGATGTAATGTCAAACGTTCCTTCGTGTTTTGAGTCTTGGGTAATTAGGAAAGATAACTCTTAAAAGTGGACTTTTTATTCCAAATATTTTTTAAGTTGGATTTTTCATTTCGTTTAAAAATTCTTCATTCAATTTGACACATGTAATTGAAATACATTCCTTGTCTCTTCAGGACTCATTTTCTTAATGTTTCATGCATAGAATAAAAAGATAATGACATTAATTGTTTTTTTAGGAGAAAATTATTTTTTGTAATAAAATTATTATTAGGTATTATTAGGTATTTTGACTGTTTGTACTTGTCTTAAGAAGATGCCCATCATTTGACACTGAAAATTCAGAAATTCTATTAATGATAAACTAGAAATAAAACATTTCACTAAAATTAGACAAAAACTAAAAAATTCTATAAAAAATATTTATGATATCAATACCATCATCTGGATATTTGACATTTACATAATAAGTGGTGCTGTATTGAAATCTAAAATAAACTGTGGATGTAATGAGCCACCTTAAGGGGGACGACTATAATTTTATTAAGGAAAACTACAATAGCGAAAGTCTTCATTTTTATACCATATATAACTTACATTACCTTCAGTGTACATGCAAAGTTTGGGGAAAATCTACCGTCCAGGTATTTTTGAGGGTCCGTCTCAAAATACAGGTACATTTACTGTAGGATTATATGGGAAAATGTCAATATTTAGCACTTTAAAGCAATTAATACAAATACTACAATAGATATTTTTTTCAAAGTATAATATTTTTTGAATAATACTATATGATACAATGTATGTAAGAAACACAAAATCCTACCGTCTTGTTAAGAGAGGGGGCATCTCAAAATGCAAAAAAAAAAAAAAAAAATGCAAATTTTACTATTTTCATAGAGTACTACAAAATATGACGTAAAAAATGGATCACAAGAAAACATAACAAAAATATTAGAGATATTCTGAAATTTCTGTTTTAAAGATCAAGAGCGTACGTTTATAATTATTTCTGCAATAATATTTTTATTACACCTTACTTTAAGAGCTTCAGATTACCATGTTGTCAAAAAGACACTGCAGCAACGTCAACGTACCTATCAATTGCAAAATCGGTTAAATAATCATAATAATAATAAATAATAAGTTATATCAAATACGTTCTATTTCCACCATTGAAGAGTTATAGATCTTAGTGCGCTCTTTTGTGAAAAAGACAGAGAATGTACAAATCTCGCGGGATTTCTGGGACAAACGTAGCTGCAGTACCGTGGCATAAACAGGTAAACAACACGTTGAATGTCGATGAACAAATCCTAACAAAATGCATATGAAATATTTTATTGTTGTGGATTTTATTTAAATCAAGAGTAGAGATGACAAGGATATTAATATGCATCTATTGGTGATCGTATGTATCTGTTTATCGCCTGGTAATGGTATATTTACAGTATACACATACCTCGGAAATGTAGTATTTTTATTAATGGACGATAAAGTTAGGGTGTTTGCTCCTTTTCATATTTCTTTTAGTTCTTTTATTCTTTAGTTAGAATGACAAATGCACTTAACATTTAAAACTGGATAGATACTGGCATGTTTTGTATTATCCGCAATTCCATGCTGTCCCAGTCAGACGACCAAACGCGCCTCTAATTCTGAAGAGTTCTCTAATGGAAATACAACGTATTGTAATAACATTTTTATACCTATAATTTCTTAATTTTGTTTAATTTAAAGGTAGGATTCTTCTCATATTTCTAATATTTAAAAATTAATGAAATTTTCACAGAATCAAGAATACAATATCATTAAGTGATAGTATCAGTGATATTAAATTTGACCGTTTTATATTATAGGCAAGGTCAGGTCAAGGTCACTGTCTTTTTCCTTGACATTAAAAATCATATACCTACTTCTATTTCAAAAGTTTAGAGATTGTTCTTTTTGCATAAAAGCATATTGCTATATCAGGTATATAGCATGATATTACTAAATTTACGAAATTAATTTAACTAACCTGGATATCGGTTAATCCAAATTTTCTCTGTTTTTCTTAATTTTTTAGGATATATTAGTTATTTTCATATGCTTCCCATATTTAACTTTTTCATATTTTCACATATAATAAAGTAGTCTTATAAATGTACAAAATGATACAAAAACAAAAAGTTTCGATCGTTTACTAAGGGAGAAAAACATACTTTTTATGGATTTTTGGCTCTGCACTTTTGAAAGGAAGCGTTTAAAAGCTAACATAGTTCTAGTTTGTTTGAAAAATCATATTTATTTGATATATTTTGAAAGTTTAGTCCCACATTATTAATTCAACTTACATTTGAAAATTTATCCAAGTCTTCGATTGTGTAAAAATTATAATTAAATACATTGTTCTGATATAATTTTGAGAGGCAGAAAAGAAGATATTTTCATACGCCACCATTCCGCCAAAAATATAGTCCCTGCTAGTATTCAAACACAGTTTACCATTTCTATTTAAAGTTGTACAATTGTAATGAGGAAAGAAAAATATGGTCTTTTAAATTCCTTACATCTCAATATATAAGACCTAAAAGCAAATATACCTTGAATGTTTCATCTAGTCAGAAACCAGAGAAGAATCCTACCTTAATAATTAAGCGATAAAAGTTGCATTAAAACAACAATCACGCTTCATTTTACTATGATGCACGAAATATTGCGCAGTGGAAACTATAGTCGGTCCCCTTAACTGCCTTTTCATACGTGTACTCTCTTTTAGCAGATAAACAAGCTACTCTGCGATTGCCAGAGAAGACGCGAGAAAGATTACCCTGTGCTGCTTGTGATCAGCCAAAAGATCAAAATGCTCATAACACAGCTAAAGGTATTCCAGGTATACAAGAAATCGATTCCGAGAATATATATAGTGTAATAATTGTTCTCAATTAAGGCGTAAATGTTCAACAATGATGTATTGTATCTTTTATGCATCAATATCTTATTTTTTCTCTTATTGCATTTTTACCGAAATCAAAATATGATGTCATAAAGTAATACATGTAAATTATCAAAATCAGATCACTCTATAAGATAAAAAGAAAATTATTCAAGCTCAAATGTCCATTTAACAGTAGGCTGGATCAAGTGCCATGGAGCGGTGAGCATCCTTTGCCGACCGGTAACACTTGCCCTGTGCTCCTTGTCATGATCTGAACATTTTTTTAAAAAAATCCGTCGTCAATTCATTGCATAAATAATAAACTAACAATAAATATGAAAAACGTCAGTAAGCATTTGACTCAATGATAAATTGTATTTGCTAACCAGGTCAAGGCATTGACCAGAGATATTAAAAAATGATATGACTTTAACAAGACTGCTGATATTCTAATTATATCAACTTGTCAATCAATTTATTACCTCGTTTTAGAAATTGTACATAGGTAGAGCATACATCTGTATATCAAATCAACTAAGAGATAAAAACTCTGTCAGTATTTTTACAAAAAAATGCAAATGACCAATGACAAGGTATTTTACTTCACGAGTTCCATTTTTATTGAAAAAGCAGCTATCAATAATGCTAAAAGTTTCCTGACTTTAATCCTTTGTGGGGAATATTTGTATAAATTTGAAAAGTCGTAAGTTTTTAAGCTGTTGAATATGGTAACATCTTCTGATTTCAAATTGTCCATAAGTTCCTTTGCATTTTTAAGCATGAACATCTAGTTTACACAACTTCTCGAATATAAAATTCTTGAAGATTTGTTTTCTTTATTGTTGATATCTTAGTTGGAGTAAAGAAAGAGGCTTGATTGAACATTTACTGAAACCAGCGCTATGTATCTTTATTTGTAAGAATTTTTCTGGGGTTTCGGAATCCAGCATATACATATGGTAGCTCAATTTCATATGGTTGTTTACGATATTAATAATATTGACAACTGACACTGCTGACACTGAAACTGATTTTGAAGAATTTTTTTTCTTAGAAAAGGAACCATGGGTACAAGTTACCAAGAAAAAATATGAAATATTAATATCTATTTTGAGCACATGAATACATGTACTTGCTAATTATATCTTTACAAATGTATTATTATTGTTAGCAAAGTAGTACATGCGGGGTTTTGTTTCTCACTATACATTTTAATTTATTCTAATAACATAACAAAGAACAAGCAATTCGAAAACAGGGGAAAATATAATACATTCACTATCCGTACGAAAATTTAATAATAAAATAATAATATTAAATACTTACAAAATTGTAGTCTTCTTGTCCAAAAAACCTATAAAAAAACAAGGTGATCGAGTTTCCCTTTTACCAATAAAGAAAAATATTATTTCAAATAATGATCATAAAAGTAAGGGCTTACGGTATAACACAATTTAAGTAAATGGTTGAAATAAACGATTCATTTTTATTTCATGCGCTGAAACATTATCTCATAAAACAGAATTAAAATTAATTCCAGGAATCTCCAACATACTAATTTATTTAACATTTTTTAATTACAATCATACGAAGAAGATGCAATGGTGGACAACCCCGTGTGGGAAAATGTATCGTTCGCCTTAATTGGATCCATTGTAACGATTCTTATAGCAGTTGGACTTGTTCTTCTCTTCTCTAGGTACTATTCCATCTTCAAGTGAATTGTTTTAAAATGTAAATGTTTGTATTTGTTAAAGTTTTTTTAAATGTACTTTGAAATTTATGTTCCTCTGAAAAGTGCATGATATGATTTTTCTACCGAAGATTAAGAAAACCACACGATGAAGACCAGAATAAAAATGCAACCTTTGATGAATCTATTAGTGAAGGTAAATTGAAAATGGATGAAACCTTAATTTCAAAGTTATTCTAAAAGACATTTATCACCTTACAAATTAGAACGCAGATCCAACTTTAACATCATATGGTAATCGTTAAGAGAATATTATGAATATTTTTTAAATATTAATCTGTATAGAATTAAAATAATTTTAAAAATTATATTTTGAATTTTCAATAATGCATTTTTAAAGACGTCCAACAATCAGAGCCACCTGTGGTTAATGCATCTCATCAGGGGACACAAAATGAAGTAAATGAAAATGTTTATGCTGATGTTAGATCCTCCAAAATGATTGAGTTTCATTGTGAAGGCTTCTCATCAAATCCTTTGCACATATACTCTAAGGATGATGTAACTGATACTGTCCTCGAGAAAACAGATGGTAAAATGAATTACTCACAGGACAGCAAGGATGCAACATATAAAGAAAATCAGACATCAAAAATGCATTCACGGGAAAATGTGTACGGAAACTTGGACAAAACCAGCCAATACAGTCTTCTGTCCTTACGACGAAATGTTGATCCCTCTGAAATGGAAAATTATTTTTTAAAGCAATCAACAAGTCATGATACCTCTCAAAACGAAGAAGCTTCTTATTGTATAATGAACGCGTTCGAGACAAATAATCAACAGAATGAGGATGCATGCAAATCAGATTCAGATATCAGTTTGACCTCTGAGCCAAATAGTTTTGCAAAGCGAAAGTACCATGAGTCATAATTTCTGGAGGAGATTGGGATATAAAAAGAATTCAAATAAAACAGAAGTCATTGATCATATATTTAATTGGTAGTGAGTGGTCGATGCATATTGATTTATATCGTATATTTGATTACGGTGCAAATATGTCATATCAATAGGTTTTAGTGCTAAAAGAAGCTTACAGACCCTCAGTTTTTGTTTTGAATTTTCATAAAGCTACAAATGTGTACATTCTAATAATACACTTGGCACATAGTTTGCAATACTGTTGATGAAATATAGAGGGAAACAAACAGTATTCAAGCTCAAAATTCCATAAAACAAAACAGAGACAGAGCACACACATACCCCCAAAACATCAGAGGTGGGATCAGGTTCCAAGAAGGAGTGTATTCCTTGCAGGGTTGGCAAAAAGGGGAAAATACTCAAATTTCCCAGGACGGCTGGACATACTTGTATTACCCAGGAAATAATAAGAAATAACTGCATTTTTATAGCTTACTTTAATTAAGTTCCTTGGGTATAGACAAGTAGTACATCTTTTTGATAAAGATATCAAATTTGTATCACTTTCCAAAATTAAAATAAAAATGACTTCCTGATATTGCATTTTAAATAATTATAAAACTTAACGCTTATATACCAGTTCATGAAAAGGACATAAAAATATTCAATGTGAATTTTGTGAATAAAGGGGGATCTAAGAAAATTGTTAAGAGATGAATATAGTGGTAATACCAAACCTACATGGAAGCCTATCAGTTCTACTCAATTTAACTGTATGTCTCGAAACAGGAGCAAAGAATTGTCCAGATGCAAGTTATTAAAACACATAATTTATTATCATATCTGCATGCAATGTCTATAGAATTATTAAAACAAGTCTATTATGTTCTCAGATTTATTATAAACAAACTTCATAATTACACTAAACTGAAAAGAAACTTGAATCAGAAAACCTGTTTGTTCTTAACATACAATTAAGAAACGTGTTCTTCAACAGAATGCATGTCGGAAGGGAGTGGTTATATACAATGTATTTTAGATTATCGATTTTATTCTTGTTCTGTTTTTATGTTCATTTCATTTCCCAAATTTTGTAAAACAGATCTTGCATATAAAAAATAAATTCTAAAGATTTATATTTCCAAGTTTTCATTAGTGTTCATCATTTTGTTCTACAACATAAATCCTAAAAATAAAAATGTTTTCTTTATATCATTTATATTGCAATTGTGAATATTTAATATGGAATATGTGGAGATGGCGAAAACAACTCAAGCTCAAAAGTCAACTAAAAATTAAAAAAATACTAGTGGTGCAATCATGGACCTTAAAAATATTTTTTTTGGTTCAATTCCATTTCAGTTTTATAATTGTGTCTCTTGAATACAATGTATCTAACAAATTCTACTTAAATACCAAATGGAAAGCACCCCTATGAAATTAAGAGAGGTAATTTCTAGTCAAAATATACGATTCGTAGAGCTACATAACTATTGTATGCATCTGCTTATAATTTGGTTTTCATGACAAAGGTTTGCTACACCGATCCGTACCAGTGGTTTTGATATTATAGTTTTCGAAGACCATTGAGAGGAACTACATAATTTTGATGAATTTGTTTCTCAAACTCCCTCGGTGTTTGGGCAAAATGTAACTATTGTCGTTTCATATCAATTAAAATAATTCTGAATGGGAAGCTCGTATAAAACTGATGTAACATTATCTCAGTTTTGATTTTGTTATAATGTATCTTTAGGAATATGCGGAATGTAGCAATTTTCACTATTTTTATACTTCACTCAGTAAATCAAATTGTTGAATGTTCTAGAAACAGGTATGAGAATTATCTTTAATATTGTGATGCTAAAGTAATTCGAAAGTTTAATTTTGTTCTCTGTAGGGTAAGACAAAAAATTAGTATTGTTTTTAATCACATTAAAAATGGAAAAAGTTGTTTCAATCACTACGAGAATATGAATGGTCAGTGCTTGGGTGAGTATATTAATGTTTGACTGTGAATATTGTTAGCCAATAATTATTGTAAACATCATTGGGAGGTCATTCGTTATCTAGTGAAGGATTGTTTTTGGAATAGAATGCGCTTTTGGCACAATTGGCACAAATTGCAGTGGAACCTGCCCGACAGGATGCTTTGGAAAACTGTGTAGAGACCAGTGTAATTGTTCGGATATATACTGTAGTAACATCCGAGGACGTCTGATGCATGCAGGTATATAATCTCCTTTAGAAACCAATAAATTTCTTAACTATTTCAAGAAAATGTTGCAGGGTAATTGGAATTTGATCAAAACCACCATGCATAAATGAAAGTTTGATTTTTTTCCATATCAACAGACCTATATATTCTGTAAAATTTGATTTTGTGAGTTCACGTGTAATTAAGTGTTCCAGATCTTAAAATAAACGTTAACTTTAAATCAACATAAATATTTTCTATGTTTTGTTGAGATCATACAATAATATCGATAGAAACGAAATTGGTAATGACTAAATCTCAAGGAAAATCACAGGAGAAAAATGACTGCGTCAACTGGGAACAAACTAACATTTAGCTTCATTGGGTGTATCGGTACACTGGTCATAGTTGGATAGGCGTGTTACATCAAATCCTGGTAAAAAAAATATATATATGTGTGAAACTTGAGAAAATTAAATATAATCAGTTTATAAAAGCCATTTAAATCTAAATCAAAACATCAATAATAAAGGAATGTACCAGATTTCCTTTTATTTTAGGTTCATTGAAATGAAATTCCAAACTAGGGGCATTCAAGTTGAACCATCAGGTATTCAAAAAATATTGAAACAATAAAAAAAAGATTAAAAAAAAAAACATTAATTGACTTTTTAGCAATTCATCATTGATATAAAAATATTCTATGATTTTTCTCAAAGTATTCTACCACACTGGAAATGCTAATATTTCAACAACCCAAAACCTGGAAAACATGTTGAATGAGGAACAAGAAGAAGGTCTGATAGCTACAGGTTACAGGTTTTTGACAGTACGAAACAAAGCAATGTGCGATTATGCCTATATAGATCCAAAAACCAGAAACATCTATAAAGACCTCAACCCGATTTTTTTTTACAAAGTAGACAAAGCTGAGCAAAATGGAGTCATTTCTAAAAGAAAATTATATGAAAATTTTGTAATATGATACGGTAAATTAATGTTTGCTTAAAGGAAGCCAATATCAAATTAATGTATCTGTTAAAAGTTTATTTATAACTAATAGAAACACATTTTAAGGTTCAAGGCTCAAAGAAGTCTTGGAACATAGGGAAAGAGATCTTTAAAGTGAATAATATTAGGAGATGAACAGTCACACGATGATGAAAATGAAGATCCCAGGTATAAACAACCCTGGTCACAGCTGAGGAATTATGACGGGTAAGGGTGTTTTCAAACGCGATCTCATACAAAACCAAATCATTGATCCTTTAGAATATTGTTGTACAAAATGACACTGATGAAAATTATATTTCCTACAGAAACATGAAAAGTCAGAAAATCGTCCGAAAAGACAAGAAAGACCGTGAGAAGAACATTTATGAAAACATCAAATGCAATATGAATGGTATAAATTTGTTATTTAGAAAAATATATATAATATGTTAAATTCATTTAAGCATTGTAAATTAAATTGCCGATGTAACTTTTTAATTTTCTTTTTTAAAAAAAACCCGAATATTTGGTTGAAAATTCAGCTTCTCCTTACTCTCTATATGAAGGAGAGTGTATCCGAGGCACGACTGACCACTCTGATACATGTAACTACACGTGTATTAACAAGACTCGTGACGAGAACTACACGTGCATGAACAAAAACCAGTTACGAGAAGTACACGTGCATAAGAAAAACTAGTGACGAGAACTAGTGTATTAACAAGAGCAGTGACGAGAACTACACGTGCATTAACAAAAGACCAGTGACGTTAAAACTCTTCATTAAACATTCTCAAAACTGTTTTTTTTTCCTGAAAGTTACAATTAATAGAGCTAATTTTTAATAACTAATAAAACTTTTATATATGATATCAAAAATAAGTATTTCTATTCATAACCGTCATCTGTTAATTGTGTTTGTTTGCTTAAAATACCAGGAAAATGATGATTTATTCTCATATTGATTAAAATAGAAGGAAATAAACATCGTTATGAAAAGGAGATGACTAACTTTATTAATTTTGCTTACCTTTGTAATAATCACCCTTCATCATCTGCACATGGAGTTTATGTTTAATGTTTTACATTAGAACAATTTTTACAATGCTATTAACTATTACCAAAGAAGGACATCTACAGAATTTGTCAATTCAACTGTTTGCATATTAATTAATGGATACAATGTCCTTGTCCGTAAATACAATCATTTAATGAATTCAAACATTATCAATAAATCAATAACCGCAATGGAGATTGTAT